CCCCAGAGGGAACTTATTATGCAGAAAGTTGCTGCAAGCCTTGTTTACACAAGAAACCTGAAAATGAATTTGCTTCCCCGCGCCAAAAAATTGCAAAATTCTCTTTTGTAGCAGCCGTGCAAATATATTTGATGATGATGATTGTCTAGCATCAGCATTAACACCTGAAGATTGTGTGGCCACACTTAAAATTTGATAAAATCTGGCAAGTCATTGTAACAATATTTGGCATGCAGGAACAGCCAATATTGGCACTAGTTGAGAGGCAGAACTAAGTATTTGATAGTATCAAACTTGCCACATGCAATGGCATTTAGTATCTGACAGCAGTGACAACAATATGTCACTGTTGATTTGATATTTGGCAGTTGACATGCAATATCAGTATTTCACAGAATCATAGAATTGGAAGGGACCACGATGGTCATCTAGTCCAATCCCTTGCAATGCAGGAATCTCTTGCCCAGTGTGTGGCTTGAACCCACAACCCTGATATTAAGAATCTAGCAACTGAGCTATCAAGGGTCAGCTTGATATGCAGCTATGGATATTGGAGAGGGACTGACTGCTGATGTATAGCAGTACCTGACAAATAGCAGTCAAAATCTAACTATATTTGCCATGCAGCAGGAAGCAGTATTTTATGGTATCTGAAATACAGAGTTGGATAATTGACAGGATTTCAGAGTTAGCATGCAGCAGATGTCAACATTTGACCATGTAGCTGGCCTGCAGCAGCAATCAGTATTTCCCATCTCCAGTGCTCACAATCAACATTTTCCTGTGTCTGACGGATAACAAGCCAAAAAAAAAATCTGTATTTTGACAGAATCTTACAGCTGACTTCCAGAAGAATATAGTACAGATTGCATTAAGCTTGTATACCCAATCAAAACAGATGAACTTAGATTCTTAAATAATTTTGATGACAATGTATACCAGATGTGACATTTTGACCTCAATGCTGTCATCTTAGCAAATTCTGAAATTATACAAAAGGTTGTTTCAGTTCTAACTTACATGGGAAGAATAGCAACATTCTATTGTCTTGAGCATTAAAAGGCTGGGAGACATTTAGAAAAGATTGACTCCCCCCCCCCCCATTTTTTCCATCCACAATGGACTGTTTCGTTATAAATGATCAGATAGGTTCTCCACCCATTCATAATTGTTCTGAGCTGCTTATGGTTTTGGAGTGCTGTCAATAGCAATCAGAAAACAACGTGTGTCCCTATTTTCTGTGATGGGAAAATGGTCTGAACAAATGGCATTCAATCAGTACTGCCTTCCATTTTCCAGTGCAGTGGTCCCTCTGGTTACGTACTTAATTCATTCTGGAGGTCTGTTCTTAACCTGAACCTGTTCTTAACCTGAGGTACCACTTTAGCTAATGGGGCCTCCCGCTGCTGCTCCTGCTGCTGCCACCGAGCGATTTCTGTTCTCATCCTGAAGCAAAGTTCTTAACCCGAGGTACTATTTCTGGGTTAGCGGAGTCTGTAACCTGAAGCGTATGTAACCCGAGGTACCACTGTACATGGAGAGCAGAAAACATAGAACACTGCCTTATACCAAGTCAGACCATTGGTCTATATAGCTCAGTATTGCTCAGCATTGTCTATGCATTGTAGGCTAATAATAATAATTTTATTATTTGTACCCCACCCATCTGACTGGGTTGCCCCAGTGACTCTGGGCAGCTTCCAATATGTATAAAAACATTACAAAACACTAAACATTGAAATATGTCGCTATACAGGGCTGCCTTCAGATGTCTTCTAAAAGCTGTGTAGTTACTTATTGTTGGCTGTTTGCAGTATGGTAGCGCTGCAGAGAGCTTGCTGGGGAGACCATGCATTAAAAAGGGACTCAAAAATAACTTAAACAAGGTTTTAATTACAAAAACAAAAACTCCTTACACACTAAATGCATCAACAAACAAACATGACCCAACCACCAACCCATCCCCCAGGGTAATGGGAGAGCTAGGTGCTGCTCCTTATATACTACACCCAATTGCCAACACAGCTTAATCAATACAACTCAGCAGCACCTGCTATGTTTCACAGCTGTAAAGCTGGGTCTTGTTATCTTGCTCTGGCCCTTGCTCTGGCCCCTTAAAGACATACACATCGGGTGAAACAATGATGAACCTTTACATTTAAAGAAACCATTCAACATTTCCCCTGCGGTTCATCATTGTGGAACAAAAACATAAAGCATACTTTGTACATGTCTTTCATGTGTAACCTTTGGAAGTGCTTTTGTAAAAATGTCCGCAATTTGTTTGTCACCTGGAACATATTCAAATACAACCATTTCATCAGCAATTAGTTTCTTTACAAATTCTAAACGTAATCTTAAGACTCTAGTGCACTGCGTATTGGTTTCTGAACACGTCATCTACATACACACATATTTTTGTTAGAGTTTGCCCTTTCCTTTATAAACACACAATTGTCTGCCTTTCCCTGTGAAAAACCAATATCCAGCAATTCTTTTGCTAAAGTTTGGTGCCAATTCCTTCCACTTTGGTGCAGACCATAAAGGGATTTGTTTAATTTGCATACCAAACCTTCAGCGGCATCTATGCCTTCAGGAACACGCATAAAAATTTGTTCTTTTAAATCTGCAAACAAATATGCAGTTTTTATATCTAGGTGATAAACAGAATGTCCACGTTGTGATGCATCTTTTAACAAAAGCTTAACTGTTTCATATTTTACACTTGGTGAATAGCACAAATCATAATCTTCGCCTGGAATTTGTTGAAAACCCCTAGCAACTAATCTTGCCTTGTACCTTACAACTTCATTTTTGTCATTCATTTTAACTCTATAAACCCATTTTGAATCAATAAGTCTCATATCTGGGGTTTGTGGTACAAGAGACCAAGTGTTGTGCTCCTTTAAAGAAGCTATCTCAGAGTTCATAGCTTTATACCAATTTACAGCTTGGTGCTTAGGTAAATTCTGAACATCATTGTAGCTTTTTGGCTCAAAAACCGTCTTATTGGCATACACAGTATTAAAATGTTCATCTGCAAAACGTTGCGGCTTCTGCCTCTTTCTATCTGAACGTCTCAGTCCGGAAGGAGAGTTAGACTCCTCAGACTTAATGGGACTAAGTGAACTACTAGTTTCAGGTTGTAAATCATCATTGTCAAACTGAAGAGATGCCTGTGGGCTAAGCCCACGGTCAGAAAACTCAAGAGAATCTAACCTCCCCTCGGGTGCCTGTGACTTTAAATCATCAAACAAATTATCAGATTCAACAGGCTTTTTGTCTTGTTCCATTAATTCAGAAGCACCATTTCCTGCTGCTGCTGCTGCTGCTGCTGCTGCTGCTTCCTCTTCTTCCTCAGTATCATTTATACCATTAGTATCTTGGAAAACAGCAACGCCATTCCAATTTACAGTTTGTATCATGCTTCTGGTAATATGAAATTTGCCAGTTGCTGGTATGTAAATTCTGCACGCCCCCTGCTGGTAGCCCATTAATTTCCCCTGAACACTATGCTCACCCAATTTCTGCTTAGCGGGATAATGCATAATTACATCTGAACCCCAAATGCGTAGGTATTTCAGATTAGGGCGTTTTTTAAACAGCTTCTCATAGGGGGTGACATCTAAACCAGAATGATAACTGCGATTTCTAACATAACAAAAGGCATTGAGCGCTTCAGCCCAAAAGACTTTGGACAGATTAGCATCGTGCAGATAAGTTTTAACCCCTGCCTGCAGGTCACGCTGCACAACTTCAACAAGCCCATTTTGCCAGGGACTTCAGGGGCAAGATAACTCATGAGTAGTCCCCTGCGCTTCCAGGAAATTCTCAAAATCCTCAGAAACAAATTCCCCGCCCCGATCAGAAAACAGGTTCTTAATTGGTTTGTTAAAGTGCGTTTTTACTCAGTTGCAAAAAACCTTGTACTTCTCAAATGCTTGGGACTTCTCAGCTATTGCATAAGTCCAACAATATCTACTATACTGGTCTATGAGAGTAAGCCAGTACTTAGAACCTCCTAAGGATGGTGGGAGTGGCCCAACTAAATCACAATGTACACGCTCAAATGGCTCAGTTACTTTCCTATCTGAGCACCTACCCTTGCGTGCAACCTTAATCTTATTCTTGCAACAAGATAGACATTGCATAAAGAATTTACATGGTTTTAAGTTGAGGCCATTAACAATATTCTTTGTCTTAATTACATCAGCAAAATTCAGGTGTCCTAGAAATCGGTGCGCCTCATGGACACATCCAGAATGTGGCCTTACATTCCTCAACCCCTGGCTTGACTGTGCTGCTCTGCAATTTATAGGTGATTGTGAGTAGGTGTGAAAATACAGTCTATATAAACCATCAGATTCCCGGGCATGCAATAGACGTTTGTTCCCTTCGAAAAACTCACACACTGACTTTAAGAAACGCACAGTTATGCCTTGACGAGCAAAACACCTTACTGACAATAAATTGTCCACTGAAGGGCAGTAAATGCAGTTTGCCATCGTAATGTTTAAAGAGTCAAGTTTAACAGTACCCCTGCCAAGCGACTGCAAGACTTGTGAATTGGCTAAATGTACACTACCAATTTCCTCTTCGAAAGAAATAAACAAGCTTCGATCGTTGCAAACGTGCTGAGATGCTCCTGAGTCCACAATAAAAGAATTCCACTTGGCACCTTTAATTCTTTTACGATCTCTTGTGCTAGCGTGAAAAGCTCGCGGCTCGTTTCTGTCTTTACGGTACGATGTCGGCTGCTGAGCTGACGACCGTGACTGACGAACAGAAACGGTCTTGGGAGTTCTTTGCTTTCTTTTGGCTCTGCAGTCCTTTGCAAAATGTCCTTGCTTATTGCAGAACCAACAACGCTTTGCAGCTTTAAATGCAGTTGTATCACCACAAGTTTGCATATAGCGTTCCTCATTATTTCTGGAAATAGGAGTGCTTATGGCACAAGCCTCCCTTCTGTCCAACTCGCCCATTAATCTTGCTGTTACCCCTTACACAGTTAATTGTGCTGGTGGAACGGCAGATATCTGGCTAGCTATACCATCAAAGTCCTCATTAAGGGAACAAAGAATGATAAAAACATACTGAATATCAGGTATCTCCATGTCCCTTCGAATTAATTTGCCACGTATCGCCTCCAGACGTCTCAAGTGTGCTGCCAAATCACCACCAGGCTGCAACTTTGTCTGGTACAGCTGCTTGAAAAATGTCAATGCAGACGCTGACTCTTTTCTAACATGCATTGCTGCAAGACTGTCCCACATTTCTTTGGCAGTTTTCTTATTTCTTATATAGACTACTTGCTGGTCGCTGACTGCCAAATTAATTATCACCCTGGCTTTTGCATCTCCTTTCGACCAAGCATTAGTTACAGGGTCAGGAGGGTCATCAGTTACATAGGTCCATACTTCTCTAGAGGTCAAAAGCGCCTCCACCCGAAAAGACCATAAACTATAGTTCTCATCTGTTAGCTGTGGGAAGACCAGAGCCTTCTCAGCTTCTGGAACCCAGTCAACCATTCTGGAACTCTCCCAGACCCACAGAACTACACCAACAGGAGAAGGAGTTTTCAAACCTTTCTCAGAGTCCAAAAATATGCAGTCATCCACTCAGCAGCTGGGCCCATAACCAAAGATGTTGGCTATTTGCAGTATGGTAGCGCTGCAGAGAGCTTGCTGGGGAGACCATGCATTAAAAAGGGACTCAAAAATAACTTAAACAAGGTTTTAATTACAAAAACAAAAACTCCTTATACACTAAATGCATCAACAAACAAACATGACCCAACCACCAACCCATCCCCCAGGGTAATGGGAGAGCTAGGTGCTGCTCCTTATATACTACACCCAATTGCCAACACAGCTTAATCAATACAACTCAGCAGCACCTGCTATGTTTCACAGCTGTAAAGCTGGGTCTCGTTATCTTGCTCTGGCCCTTGCTCTGGCCCCTTAAAGACATACACATCGGGTGAAACAATGATGAACCTTTACATTTAAAGAAACCATTCAACACTTATCTCCTGGACATTTGATGGGAGGGCGTTCCACAGGGAGGGCGCCACCACCAAGAAGGCCCTCTGCCTGGTTCCTTGTAACCTCACTTCTCGCAGTGAGGGAACTGCCAGAAGGCCCTTTTGGACCTCAGTGTCCCGGCTGAACGACAGGGGTAGAGATGCTCTTTCGGGTATAGCAGTGGCTCGTCTGGGTTTCAGGCGGGGGACATTACCAGCTATAGCTCAGTATATAATGCAACGGCTGAGAGAGGGCTTCTGGAGGAAACAACAGAAGGATTTAGTGCAGGGGGGGAGACATTCAGGAGTGGTTGGGGCTCCTCTGAATGGATCTTCCTGCTGCTTTTGCATTCTGGTTCCTGTCAGGGAGTTTTTCCACAGGCAGTATGGAAAAACCTTTCCTCTGGAATCGGCCAATAGAGCACTTCAACACAACCCTTTAATGAAGCGCTTAGTGGGAAAGTATCTGAGAGCCTCTTATGTCCCTCCAATAGTATAGACAGATTCCTAATTTTTCTTTGTAAACATTGTTCCCATTAATAGAAAGCCAGGGGCTGGATGGGTTTTTAGCGTGGCCGGATGCCAAGGTTCTTTAAGAACCTGTGCATTAGCCGAAGGCACGACCTCAGCTGACCTGAGGAAAGCCACAGGCTCATCTCCTTTCCCTACTGGCTGGTGCCTTAATTGGCAGGTTCACAATGAGAGCTTTTGTTTGTGTCCTAAGCTTGCAGAGCACAATTAAGATGTCTGATACTTTGAGCCCAACAGCACAGCAATTAATACCGTTTTATATAGGCCAAATCCATTACATATTTGAACAGCGCATTCAAGCATGACAGGAAGGTGTTCAACCGAACTGGGAGAGATTTCTTTTAAAGAAATCAGGATCTGGTGTCCTTTTTATATAACACCCCCCTCCATCCCCCCAAAAGTAAACCCTTCTGCATTACATGATGCTCCGATCGTTTCCCTACAAATCCATTGGCAGAATTTAGTGAACTGTAGCTCATCTGTTTTGCTTGCAGAAGGTCCTTGGTTCAGTCCATGGCATCTTCGAGTGGGAATGGGAATGTCCCTTCTCTGAAACCATTGAAAGCCACTGTCAGTCAGTACAGACAATATTGAGTTAGGTGGGTCAATGGTCAGCTTAGTTGAAGGCAGCTTCTTGGAATTTTCTTGCAATCTGTTATTTTCTGTCATCCAGGATTACTGGTTTCCAGGGGCTCCTAGGAGCAGAGTCCTTTGGCCCCCCCCTATATTTGGGGGGTAGGGGCCAGGGGGCCCCATGCCCCAAAAGCAGGGAGCCAGGGAACAGAGCTGAGCGCAGCATGCCTTCCACAGATGGCTACTTCTCCTCCTCTTCCTGCTGGAGTGAGCCAGTGTGGTGTAGTGGTTAAGAGCGGTAGTCTCGTAATCTGGGGAACTGGGTTCGCATCTCCGCTCCTCCACATGCAGCTGCTGGGTGACCTTGGGCTAGTCACACTTTTTTGAAGTCTCTCAGCCCCACTCGCCTCACAGAGTGTTTGTTGTGGGGGAGGAAGGGAAAGGAGAATGTTAGCCGCTTTGAGACTCCTTGCTCAAGGACTGCTTGCTGCTTGCTGCCTGCTGCCCAGGAAGACTCCCCTGTGGTGAGTGCCTGAGGGCCCTGCTCTTGCCACTTACCACCTGGCCCGGGGAGGGCCTGACAGGCCTCACAAGGACTGCTCCTGCCACTTACTATCTGGCCCAGGGTGGGGCCTCACAAGGATGGTTGTTGCCACTGATGCTGCTACTGCCCAGGAGGACCCGGAGGGGTGCAGAGTTATTTTTAACATGTTTTTTTTGTTTTTTTAATATTTTCCTTTCCCTTTAGATTTTTATATATGGGGTGGGATGGATGTTTGGGTGGGCTTGGGAATTTGTTAGATTTTGATGAATTTGTAATTTTTGCAGTTTTTATTTGTATTGTTTTATTGTTTTCTGGGTTGTTTTTGTTTTTTTGTTTTTATTGTTTTAAGTGTTGACTTTTTGCAGTTTAGTAGCGCTGCAGAGAGCTTCCTGGGGAGAACATGCATTAAAAAGGGACTCAAAAAGCTACTTAAACAAGGTTTTAATTACAAAAACAAAAACTCCTTAAACACTAAATACATCAACAACAAACCAGACCCAACCACCAACCCATCCCCCAGGGTAATGGGTGAGCTAGGTGCTGCTCCTTATATACTACACCCAATTGCCAACACAGCTTAATCAATACAACTCAGCAGCACCTGCTATGTTTCACAGCTGTAAAGCTGGGTCTCGTTATCTTGCTCTGGCCCTTGCTCTGGCCCCTTAAAGATATACACATCGGGTGGAACAATGATGAACCTTTACATTTAAAGAAACCATTTATTGTTTTAGGCTGCGAAAGAATAACATTAATTGCCATCAATGGAGGCTACTATGAGGCCTGGGATTGCTACCGTGGAGGGGCGAGGGAGGTATGGCAGTGGGCGCAGATGTTATAGGTGAAGGGGATCGAGATATGGATACGCTTGTACCCCTTCCAATCTGCGCCCCATCCCGAGGGACGAGGGTAGGGTGAGCAAGGATTACTCACCTCTGTCACTGGTGCTGTGCAGGTCTATGGGCAATAAAACCACCACCCTGCGAGATTTCTTTATCTTGCAGGGGGTCAACCTGGCTTGTGTGACGGAGACCTGGGTGCGCGAAGGGGAAACTGTTACCTTACGAGAGATGGCGCCCCCGGGTTTCTCCGTCCTCCACCAGTCACGGACTGTGGGCCAGGGGGAGGGGTGGCATTATTAATCCGGGAAGATTGTCCTTTCAGGGCTCTACCATCGCCATCGATCCCCGGCATTGAATGTGTTGGCCTAGTGTGGGGCTCCGAGGAGAGCTTGGCTGTCTGGCTGGTGTACCGGCCACCTAGCGCACCAGCAGCCACCCTGTCAGGCCTATTGGAGGCGGTGGCCGGCTGGGCCTTGGAGTTCCCTAACCTATTGGTATTGGGGGACTTCAACATCCATGCTGATGCCACTCCTCCTCACAGGCTCTGGACCTGGTGTCTTCCACGGCGACACTAGGGCTCTCCCAGTTTGTTTCGGGCCCCACACATCAAGCAGGCCACACGCTGGATTTGATCTTTGGCGTAGGTATAGATGTGATCATGTCTCCTTCGATGAAGGTGCCATGGTCTGATCACTACGCTCTGAAAGCCAGGATTGACTTTCCACCCCCACCCTGCTTAGGTGGCGAGCCGATTTGGGCTCGCCCGCGGAGGCTGATGGACCCTGATAGATTCCGTCAAGCCTTGCGGGACCTTGCTCCCCCTGGCGACTCATTGACTGAGCTTGTTGAGGGCTGGAATACCCAGCTCCTGGCAGCCATCGATGAGATCGCACCTAAGCGCCCTCTGCGACCCCGCAGAAACCGGGCTCCCTGGTTTACCGAGGAGCTCCGGAAAATGACGCGGGACCTCAGACGGCTAGAGCGAGTATGGCGGGGTGCCCGTGACAGAGCCTCAAGAACATCTTATAGGGCTTTTATGAAAACCTACGAGATGGCGGTGAAGGCTGCTAAGAAGTCATACTTCTCGGCCTCCATTGCATCCGCTAGCTCTCGCCCAGCGCAATTATTTAGTATAATCAGGTCTTTAACGTCCCTTGAGGGACAGCCAAATTTAAATAACAATTTGACACACAGCTGTGAGGCATTTGCGAGCTTTTTTGCGGAGAAGGTCTTGTTGCTCTGCCATGACCTCCCTGCCAATTTGGATACAATAAAGGAACTGGAGGCCCCTCGACTGTCCTTGGGTCCAGTATTGGACCACTTCGACCGGATATCCCCAGCCGATGTGGACAGACTCCTCCGAGCTGGAAAGCCCACCACCTGTCCTCTCGACCCGTGCCCGTCTTGGCTGATTAGAGCGTGTCCAGACGAGGTGCGGGCCCTCCTGGGGGATATCATCAATTTGTCCCTTGGCACGGGGACATTCCCAGGGGAACTGAAGGAGGCAGTGGTGCGCCCACTCTTAAAGAAAACATCATTAGATCCTTTAGATCTATCCAATTACCGCCCGGTTTCGAATCTTCCGTTCCTGGGTAAGGTGATTGAGAGAGCGGTTGCTGAACAGCTTGGTGGGTTTCTGGATGAAACATCGGCTCTGGATCCATTCCAGTCTGGCTTCCGCGCTGGTCATGGGACCGAGACGGCTCTGGTTGCCCTAACAGATGATCTTCGTAGACAGCTGGATCGAGGCGGGTCGGGGCTGCTGATTCTTCTAGATCTGTCAGCAGCTTTCGACATGGTCGATCATGAACTTCTGGACCACCGCCTTGCCGACATGGGAATCCAGGGCACAGTCCTTCAATGGCTGCACTTGTTTCTCTCTGGTCGGGGACAGAGGGTGGCGCTTGGGGGGGAATTGTCATCGCGCCACTCCTTGGTGTGTGGAGTACCTCAGGGTGCGATACTCTCCCGATGCTTTTCAACATCTTTATGCGCCCCTCGCCCAGCTTGTTCGGA